TGTTCTGTCCGGCTATAAATACGAAAACTTTGCTATAACCGAGCCGCCTCGCTACCATAGTCGCGGAAACTCGTGGCGTATTTTTCCTCGACTTTACGATAGCCCCTGTTTTCCACGACGTTTCTTTTCCTCTACTTCCCTTTTTTCTCCTTTCCTCTCCTTTTTTCCCTCCCTCGACTTAACTCCGCCCCTAAAAATAAACGGGGCTCTATCTGCGACGATAATCTGGAACACAGGTGAACAATATCGCGGAATGGACAACGCGAACGCGAACGTCGCGGTATTTATAAAGCTTGTAATCTACGTACGATATCTGTTCGCGTGGCTAATCTGCGAAATATTAAACTATCGCGAACACGACCACTCGCGTGTTTTCTCCGTACAGCGTGGCAGCCGGCATGTAATTACTACATCGTTAAAGGTTCCAGTTACCGTTGTTGCGCCGATAATTAATTTCCGCCATTTCGATGAATAATTCGCGCTATATGCATCGGCCGCCGTGTGCTGGAACTCGACGAGTGAAAGTGGTCATAGCGTGTACGCAAAATACGCGCGACCATCATTACCGCGGGGCCACGGCACGATAATGATCGTAACGACGAAAATTTATACCGATCTCCGCGAAACGAGCTCAAATTATCCGGAATCGCTTCGTTTTCGCGTTGAACGCCCGGTTAATCGGCGCGGATTTCCATCCCCGGCCCGGTTAAGAGTGCTTCGGTCATGGTTCGCGTCGCAATTGCCGAATAACGCGTACTGCCTGTTTAACCTCTACGATTTAAGTCCCTATGGCGCGTGCCATAATCGACAACAGAGTCGGTCACACGTCGAGGCGTTTGAAGAATAACACGCAACTCGGGCAGAAAGAGTAGCCACGTGCCTGACTAATGAATATAATCATTAATCGTTGCAAAAGCACGCGTGAACTGCTATTTATCAAGCTACGCAAATTATCAGTTTCCTTGACGAAGTAAACGCGCATGTATCTTCGCTGTGTTCAACGAAAATCTTCAAAATAATTTCTCTACTATTAGTCATGGACCACTCTATCACCCAGCCTGAATTTTTCTCAGAACAACGAAGGAATTGTAAGGATATAAAATAAATATCGCTCACCGAGCTCTCGTTCGAAAACCGTTGAAGTTCCAATGGGGTGTGGCACGATCAACAGGAAAATCGGTCACGCGTCGAGCCGTTTCGTACTAACGTGTCGAAGAATAACACGCAACTGAGACCAGGAAACATTTACGAAAATTAACCACGACCTGCCCGAGCCTGATCGTGTTTACATTGAGAATCGTCTAGAAACCTCGTCTCTTATCTCTTACTTCTGACGATTATGTTTTGACCTATTTCCTTACGAGTCTCACTCGATATTGCAAAAGGGTATTCTGGATTTGTTTACATTGAGAATCGTCTAGAAACCTCGTCTCTTATCTCTTACCTCTGACGCTTATGTTTTGACCGATTTCCTTACGAGTCTCACTCGATATTGCAAAAGGGTATTCTGGACTGTTGAAAATATTCAGCTAATTTTGGTAATATCGATACCAAGCGATAGTCTCACGATTTTGTGAAAACCAATTAATATTGCTAAATTATTAATTTATTCGTTAACGATACATTATAAATTGTAGATAATAATAATTAATACTTTGGTAATATCAGTTGCTACATAATCGTCTCTATTTTATAACAATTTTGTAATAAGCTATACAGGTCTTAAGGGATCGAAATTTAACATTTAATCTAATAGAACGGTGCAAAAATGAAGGAAGGATTAATTAAAATTATTCGATCCGCTGGGAAGAGATAATTACTGAACTGCAATGATATAATTGGAGTAACTTCCAAGTCACTTGTGGTTATAGGAAATTAACGGTGAAAGCTAGGGGAAATTTCACCCTTGATATATCGCTGTCGAGTATAATGTCGACCAACCAACTATTAAAGATGAGGTCACCATCAGCCTAGACTCGACCCCTCGATTTCTAGCGTGACGTCAGCTGGGCCTGAGTGACAAGGCCCGCAAGGGTTGTCACCCTGTCCAGACAGGGGCGAATACTGTATAAAGACAACGCGGGAGTGCTGCCAAGTATTTTACTGATTGGAATTTTTATGAGACTCGAGCTTGGCACGGGCGGGGATTAGGAAATCATCACCGTCCCTCCAAATCACCTTTCCACCCCTTACATGAACAGAATAGGAACAATCGTAGGTGGAACAATTTTTTGTCATAGTTGTCTTGTCTTTCGAGGAAATTGACTTAAAATTTATCTCGTTTTACGATTATTATATATGATTATATCCTTTAATCCATAGATACACCTGTTCCCGATGATAAATAAGTTTCGTTAAAGACCTAATTATTATTTACAATAATAATAATCCATAACGAAATTTTTATATCTCAGTTCACTTTCCCGAAGAATAAACCCCTTACATGAACAGAATAGGGATAATCGTAGGTGGAACAATTTTTTGTCATAGTTGTCTTGTCTTTCGAGGAAATTGACTGATCCCTCTATGGGCCCGTGTAACGTTCAAGTTACATGCTAATGTATGGATATTTTATTAAATATTGCATTCAATGTTATCGTCTTGATCACTCCAGTTCGCAATTTTTCTTTCGATATATTTATAATTATTTTTACAATACCTCTCGTGGTTCCATTTTTAAAAATTCTAATTCTTTTTCATTTACCGGTTATTCGATCATGATAGGTTAGGTCCTCTATGGCCCCTTGTAACCTTTTCTCCACAAGATGGCGTGGAAAATTATCATGTCTATCTATTGCACATTATCTTGGCACAATAGTACAACCGTTGTTAATTCAAACTTTCAATACGAATTCGTTATAATAAAATTGTCAAAACTGCTGAATTTATTGGTTGATATTTGTTCATTTTACGTTACATACAATTCTTATAGTCAAGAAAAATATATATTCGGTCCATAGAGGGTTAAAATTTTTCTCGTTTTCCGATCACTGTATATAATTATATCCTTTAATCCATAAATACACCTGTTCCCGATGATAAATAAGTTTCGTTAAAGACCTATTTACAATAATAATGATCCATAACGAAATTTGTATATTTCGGTTCACTTTCCTCGAAAAATAAACCTTCGTCACTGTTGTCTATTTTACAGCTAGCTAGAAACACCCTGTGTATAGCTAGCTCGTCACTTTAACTATTATCCTCCACGCATACTATATTTAGGTACACAGAACAGGTCAGTAGTTCTAGTGTTAAAGGGAAGAATAGCCTGTGACCGACACGATTAACTCATTGTCGAAAGAAGTCACGTTCGAAGGGACGAGGACGCAAGCCGGGGTGGACGAAACGAGAGGGCCACCGAAAACAGGCATGTTGCATACGGGTGCACGGCCGGATGCATAGGGTAAACACGGTTCATTACTGCAGCATTCATTACGTAGCTTCTGAAACGGCGACCCTTCTCTTCTGCTTTCTACCCGTTAATGCAAGGTAGAACAAGGCCGCTTTTGGACAACTCTCGTGGCCTTCTTGAATAAATGAACAACGCGATGCGTAACAGGCCGCGTCTATCGCGTATTCGGGGACGCTTTTAAGGCGTTTTCTCGCAAGAACATACGCGGGACATACACGCTATCGGATAAATAGTTTTCACGCTGCACCGCAGCAGAATTCGGAGCTCGCAAACGCTGAACCGTGTTTAAAGTTTGTTGTCAGCTCAGCGCTGACGTTTGTGTATGCTACAACGGGAAATTCGTGAAGTTGCTCGGTAAAGTAAGCCTTATTTCGTTTCATTTGCAAATGCTATTTGCATTGCGAGACGAACTTCCACGGAGGCATTCTGTTCGTTTTCGTTTTACCCGTTGTGCGCTACAGCACGGTATATACCATCGCGGATATTCTCGCCAATTAATACAGCTCTGTCTTTGATTATCTTCTACGGTCGGAGAACCAATTTTATCGCCGCCATTTATATCTCGCCGCTCTTTCAATCTCAATCGTTCTCCGGCTCTTCGTAAAAACTTCCCCGATGCCTTTAATTCGAGGGGACGGTAAGTTGCGGGTGTAAAGCACGTTGGATGCACATCGAGGAAACTATTTGCCCGTACACACACAGCCGGCATTATGCGCGTACGTGTTCACGCATATCGCAGACCTGGCCGGATACGCGTCGCGACAACGCGTTAAATAAACGTGGGATGATAACTGCAAAAGGATTCGCGTGTCGTCCGAAGCATATAAATCCCTCGTCAACTACGAAAACATACGAAAGCCTCGAAGCGAAACCGAATAAAAGCGTTCAACCTGCTACTTCTTCAACCCTTTCCACTCGATGGATGCGTACACTCGCGTCGATATCATCCATTGTATGACAGACGTACGTCGAATCTCCTCGAATTCGTCAATTCTCGTCTTTTTATCGACTTACCTCGGATGAAACGTCGCATCGCAATATTTTAATACCACGTACGACGATTCCTTGAATTTCATGTACCCGTGGATCCACTGTTTCGCACCGGCCAACGAGAGGGATTAAACGATCCTTTGTGTGAGAAATTTTGTAACACGTGTACGCTGAAACTCTTGGCTCGAGCTAACGAGTGCTCGTCTATTTACTAATCTGTACAACATATTTTTAATGGAATATTATATCGTTACAATATTTTACCGTGGAATTTACCGTGGAGCTTGTTTGGTACTCGGGTCGTGTAAACCGGGGTCATTCGCGTTCTTCCAATGAACAATATCTATGACAAATACATCTTAAATTAAGATTACGATATTTCGACGAATATTTCGGTTAAATATATCGTGTTAACGGCTTCGTCTTGTTTACGGGAAAGCCGAGCAGAAATTGACAAGACACGCTCGACCCGTGTTAACACGCCACACAATTCCTTATATTTCGCACACACGATACCGGGCAGATTAAAAATGGTACTCGACGTCCACTCCATCGACGCGGTGATCGAGATCTCCGGTGCTAGATCCTCGGCGTCTCAGTGTCTCCGACGACCACATAGACTGTCCGTGCCATCCCCTTTCGCAGTAGTTCGATCGATCAGCTCCTTTTTCGGCGTTTTCAAGTCGTAGGCCAAGCCTAAGCGTGCCATCAGCTCTATGAAAGCGGTGGTGCCGTTCAGGCCGTACGCGCTCAGTTCCGCAGCCTTGTAATCCCACGGGAAAGAATGGTGGTAATTATGCCAACCTTCACCCAGTGTGAAGAAAGACACGACCGGGTTTTCCCTCGGCTTGCCCCTCCTGCCGGGTTTAAAACGGGGTTAAATCGCGCTTGAGAAACGGTACCGTGTCAAAGTTTTAATTAACTCGGACCCTGCGATCGGCTGGCGTGCCGAGTCGTCGAAACTTGCCTGTTGTACGGTCGATTTCCCCACATGTGGGCGAAACTGTTCACGATAAAAGTGGCGTGCAACGAGCAGACGTAGCGAATGAGCGCCGCGTGAACACTTATGAACAACGTTTCGCCCCACACGAACACCGGCAACAATATCGGCAGCACGAAGCACAGCGAGACCATAATGACCTCGTAATACCTGCAACGAGATAGCAAAATGTGCAAATGGCCGCGTTTCACGGTTTGACTGGCGCGCTGGCCGCGACGAAATGTAATTCATGTTGTTTTAACGCGAACGAGGTCTTCGGAAGCTTTCATGGCTTGGCCACCACTCGCGTGTACTCGTTCCAGCACTTTTATCCCCGAGTTGATGTCCACTCGGAGAAATATCTCGCCTCACCTGTGTCGCTTTATCAACATTCTGAAGGGACATCGATGCCGACGTACGTATGTACACGTACACGTTGAAACGTTCCAGGAACGTTCTATGGAGCTTGATGATAATCACGCGAAGGAAGAAGAAATTCGGGGACAGCGGTGAATGACCGATTATAACTCGTAGACCTTCCCCCATTTACATGGTCAAAGTCCTGGAATTGTTGAAGAAAATGTCTTACTTGTCGAAGAATTTTATTACAGGATCCGCACTGATGTCGCTCATATCGATTTTACTGCCGTACTCCTTCACAGCTGGGTGCCGTTTTACCATCAGCCATCCGATATGAGAGAAGAAAAATCCACGAGTAGCGTCATGCGGGTCCGCATTCGTTTCCGTGTATCTGTGGTGCGTCCTGTGGTCTCGGATCCATTTGTAAAAATGCGTCTGACGGAACGAGAACGATCCATCAAATTATCCGCTACGACTTGGAAACTTAGAAAAAGAAATTCGGAGGATCGACGTACCTGCCCCATCATGCAGTACAAGTACGCGAGAAAGATTCGCAATGGCGTCTTGGCGGAATAACTCCTGTGCGCCCAGAGTCGATGAGCACCTGCCGTTACTCCCAAACCAGCCACGAGACCGTACGCGACGGCTTGTTGACGTAGAACAAAAAGCGAAAAAGATGTGGAATTTTTCGAGAGTGGAAAGGAGATAAAAGAGTGGAAAAGATAAAAATCGACTGACAGCTGACAAATATTTGGAATGTCGATAAACGGTTTATCTGGAATTCCGAACGGATAGAGGCTAGAGGAGGGTCGAAGGAAACTGGAGGGAAAAAAGCGAATTTCCGGAACGAAGTAGAAACGGGCCACGATATGTACTTACTCCAAATCCACGTCCACAGCTTGGCATCTCGATAACCGCTCACGAAACCGTAAACGGGGAGGAAATGAAGCACAATGATACCAATCACATTTCGCCATATTATCTGCTGCCCGGCCGGGGTTCGTTCCGCCGACAGTGGAAACGGTTCCGCGTCCTTTTCCATCGCCTGACTGGCGTTTTCGTCTTCGTGTCGGGTCTCCGTAGACGTGTACATCCTTCCAGCGAGACGCTTTCCCGATTTTCCCACCTAATTCGAGCAATCGATCCGTCTACCTGTTAGAACTTCGGTAAAAAATGATGCTGCCCGTACTCGCGTCATATTTTACGAACGACCATCGCGTAAAATGTCCGTCCGTTAAATATATTACGAACACTCCAATTACGTTACTATAGCTGCGCAAATTAATTATCGCGATTAACCATTAAGCCGGCGATATGACTGTCAATTTCACGTACAATATAAAAGGTAATTGCATCCACTTCGGTTGCATCATCGCGCAACCCTCTGCTCGCCAGGCATGAGAAACACGCGTTGCGAGTTTCACGGCTGCATAACCGGCTCGATAGGCGCAATTCCTTGGATATAAGAAAGTTCAGCCTTTCGCGGAGCAGATTGCATTTCCGGCGAAATAAATGCCGAATTCGTGGACGAACTATGCACGAGATATCTCGACACTCGGATCGGTACAATCGCGACTCGAATTTTCAGCAAGCAGCTAGATTTTATTCGTAATTAATGAACGGAACGTTTAATTCCACCAGTAGGAGTACCGAGCAATAAAGCAGCCGATCCTGGAATCGTTCCTCGTTCGAGCCGATTGCTAAGACGTTCGTCGAACAACCGGTATGAAATCGCTGCGAGGATGCCATAAAGTAAATAACGCTTACTATCCTGTAATTAGCCCATTTCCCTCCCGTGACCATGTCCGATTTACACTGTCAGGAACATCGCGAGTAGCTGAACCGAAGGACGACAAATGGCGCGGAACGATCTCGGATGGCATCGCCGATTAAACGTCGTCGCTGGTATATACGGTCCTAGGTATCCGTTAATGTCCGACACCCTCTATTGCCGGCACTGACCCCCGTTTTTACACCCCCGAGGACAAATCTAAAGCTGATCCTCGCGATTAGATGTTCGACGGTTGGACGAAGCGCGCGGTTATCTAGCAAGGATGTTTAAATCGCGCGAATTAATTGGCGGAAGCGGAAGAAAGGGCGAGGCGGTGCCAATGGCGTTGCTCGAATCTTACGTCGAGTTCTCCGGATTCAATCAAAAGTTTAATGCATCCGAAAACGATTTCGTACAGCGTGAACTACGCCGCCGAGAGAAATTAGATCGGCGAGGGCGGGCCCGAGATTCTGAGGATTCTTTATCGACTCCTATTATCGCTTTGGAACGAAATCGGCGCGGGCTAAGGAATTTTATTTAACCGTCCCGACTTCTGGAACGCGGCCGAAATACTATTCGGGCAGATGTCCGAGTTTGCATTAATAATTCAATAAAACCGATGGCACACATACGATTCTGTGCCCGCTGCATCTGATCGCAGCATAAAGGTCGACATCTGCGACTTCCGGGCACACCGTGCGCGGAAAAGATATTCCACGATGCATGGAAAGCTTCCTGTTCCTTAACCGATGTGTACCCATACTGCTACGGTTTGATGTAGGGCGAGTTGCCATTCGTGAGATCGCGCGATATTATGTACAGCGAATTAGACCTCCCGGGTAATTCCGATGAAATATTAACGCCTCTAAAAGCGACTCGCGGAAAAAAGATGTTAAAAAATTGACCTATAAAACTAGGTAGTCGCTGTACCGAGTGGCGAATGATTAATTTCTTCGTTAAGTGTATGTTTCTTGGAAGGCCAACGTGATGGCCGATATTTCATCCTTCCTCCGCGTTTTCCATACCCTTCACGACGGCGATTAGTTGCCCGTTAACTCGCTGTACGAGGATGTTTCGAAAATTTTTTCCGATCCTAAATGTCGGAATTTCAGAACACTTCTAAGTGCTTCGTCCTGGTATTATTAATTATATTCCCTATAATACTTATCGCTTTAATATAATTCATTGGGAAATCTCAAATTACCGAGTAATTAGTGGCAGAAAGAGTTCTCCAACGTACTTTTAGTTCCGTTTTACTTAATCGTATCAATAAAAAATTTCATTCGTTCGGGAAAAATTGCGTTCTTGAAGCGATATATTTCACTCGTGAATCAAAATCGATACTTCAAGCTTCGAGAGTTCCAAGTTTCAAAAGTTCCGCGACTTTCAAAATCTTGGAAAAGTTTCGAATTCGAGTGGAGAGAATTTACAAATTACCTTTCAACCCCCAATTATATATCCATTCCTTAATCTCCCCGTCCATTAACATTAATTAAACGAAACTTATAAGAACATATCCTCTGTATTTTTATTACAAAATCTTAATCGTTTAGTTCGAGCAAGGACGATTTTATCGAGCAATATATCAAGCATTTCGTAAGTCTATGATAAATACTGCACTGTAACTGTTAATCTCCTATGTTTGTATTGTCCTTAAACGAGGAACCAGTGCTCTTAGGTAAAGATGCGCGTACATAAACAACAACATCCAGCGGATCATTATATAAGCAAACAAATCGCATTAGCAACCAGTTGAAATAAGGAAACAAAGTACACAACGCAACCCGTACAGTTCAATATTTTCCTTGCTATTATGAAACAAAAAGAATATGAAAAGGTAAAATCCACTGTTCCAATTCCTTCCTGATAACAATAAACAATTCCAATAAGGAATATTACCTACCAAAGAAAAGAAAATGGCACCTGCAGAAATTCGACGCTAATTTGTTGGATCCTTAGTATCGGTGGGGATCTAGTGCAATGTAATCTGCCTATTATACTTGTAAATTTTATAATTACTCTTACAATGACGCCTGGTACACGATAACTGCTATACGACGACTGAAACGACTTTAGACAATCGGTGAGTCATTCTAGACGTGAATACACACAAACACACATTCATAGGCATGCATTATATTGGAACATATTTCTGTAACATGTCGTGATTAGTATGGTAAATCGGTGACGATGCTACGTAATTATTCATCTCGTAATTCATCACCATATCTCGTTGATCATTTCGAAATTGCACGGTGTGAAAAAAGTCTATCGAGATAGCCATATCTGTTGAACAGTTATGTCTGTCATCCTTCGAAATTAGGGAAGCTGTGACTTAGTATGCGCCGCGCGTAGCGAGCTTGAAACAGCGCCTGTCGCGCTTTCGCTCGTAAAACCCCCTGTCTTCCAACAGGAACGCCAATTTCCTTCTCGTTTTCTGCGGCAAAATCGTAAAAATCCGTGTACCGATCCGTGGCTGCGTGCCACACGACGATGGCACCGCAAATGATGAAGCGTCGAAGGCATTCGCGTATGCTGACACGACCACGGTTCGTTCGCTGAAATTATCGTCCGTTTTCGCGTTGTTCGCCAGCGACCCAACAAAATGCAGCCTGCAGCGACGATGTCATCGGCGATAACGTTGCTGATAAACCGAATTGAATTTTCAGCATTAATACGAAATCTACGGAACGAGTTTAAAATTCGGATTTACATGGAAAAATAATTATTTTCTCATTTGTAAATGGTTTTTCGGTCAATTTTCGGCTGCATTGGGAATATTCTTGTGTGACTGTTTAAAGAGTTACGAATTTGTCACGTATTTTGGGCTTGGATAATTTCTCATGAATTTTGCGGGGATTTAGAAACGGAAAACTTGACTATCAGACGATTTATATAAAATTCGCAATACTTGTAACCCTCCTATAACACGGTAGATAGGTTCCTAGAAAATGCCGTGTTGCGTGAAACCGTGTTGTATGAGACCCAGACGCAGTACAAAAAAGGGGATTACGTTCTGAAAATTTACTAGAAACAAATTCTTTTTAGAATTAATTTTTATTAAAAATATAAATGTATGTACAACGCAAAACAAAAAGAAGACAAAAATATTATTTTAATTTAACGCAACTTTAATTTAATGAATTTCTTCGTCGTCACTGCTCATATAGAAGTACAGTGTTGTACAAAGGTTTTTGCAATTTTCTTATTGTATTAGAGCGAAACCGTGTTAGAGGATGTCGTGTTGTAGGAGGGTTCCCGCAATTTATGAATCGCGTTATATGATACCGTGTTGTAGGAGGGTTACCTGCACTTCAAAATTCGTAACAGTAGACGACGTCGTGTGATAAATCATCGAATTGATTTTGAGATCTCAGCTAACACTCGACTTGCAAGAAACGTGTAGTCTTCCCAGGCAACTTGTAAAAGATTTGATGGTCGCTTTAACACCTAAACCTTCTTCTAAACACCTCTGTTCTCGTGAAATTACAGGAACCACCTATATTGGGTCAACTCTACCAAAATTCGGATGAAACAAACTTAACGGTGTACCTTGAGAATCTCAGGTCCAGGTGTGTTTGAACTTCGGATCCACCGGGGTAGCCAATACATCGCGAATAAATTATTTCGAAAGTTCATCCGACTGAACGTACCCTAATTCCGATCGTCGAAATCCCTTAACGATCCGGTTTTTGCATTTTCCTCGGGCCGTTTCGCTTCGCAGCACACTTCCGGCATCAATGGTGCGAACACGTGGCAAAACAAGCACGGCTATTCGCAGACATTAAATCCATGCACGATTGCCTCGAGCCATGGATAACACTGTGCAACAGCGCCGTGGGTAACGCTTTGTAATTATCTTCGTCTGTTAATGACGCCTTTGCGATTTGTGTAACCACGGGGTCGTAATGGGAGTAATAGAGGAAATTGCAGTTTGAGAAATACGCCGCGTAACTACGCGGTCTGTCGTTGAAGAAAAGGAAAAATCGAAGGACGGCCGTAGACGAGGGTGAAACTCCCCAAGCGTTTCCACGTGCTATGCATTGATCAGAAGATGATTCACAAACGGATACAGGGGCTAGAACAGTTCCCTTGCACTACCTAATCCTGTCTCCGAGTCTTTACAGACGCGTTGATTCTACTACGTATTGACAATCCAAGCTCGTTTTCTAAATGAGGGATGATGAAGTATGATGAGGACAGTCTTACGATCCGAGTGTTCGGTGATTGTTATGAAAAAGAGTCAATCGCAGAAGGGGAATGAGAGAGAAAGAGATAGAAAAATATGATGAAGAACAAATATAATTATTAACTTTCTATAT